GTTATTTTAAAGAACAGCCAGAAATCTTTGGCAGCTGTGGGAAGCTGGATTGTGTCACAGGGAGAATTGCAGATGTGGAGGGGAGACTGTTGAGCCTTGTGGGTACAGGAACACCAGTTGTAGTCCTTGGTGGCTAAAGGATCCTTCCAACACAAATGTGACAGAAAGAACTTGACAATGAGCAGCTCAGCTGTCAGCTTAAAGTACCACAGCTGGGCCTTCATTTTTGGGCTATAGTAATCTACTTTGTAGTGTTTTACAATAGCTTTTCCTTTTCTGGGCAAGAAAGGTAAAATATGTGGGCAAATTGGTGCTTCAGAAAGGGGAAGGGGAACACACCTTCCCAAAGTTTTGCTTTTGCTAGCCTTGTAAGAATTGTATTCATGTGAAGTGCCCAGCTGAGCTCAAATGCAGCTCCCTCTGCTTCAGTGAACACGTGGCTGTATTTGGGGATAAGGTTTTTCTTGATGGTTTGATTTAGATAGCAAGTATATTATTTCAGGTTACTGGAGGTTAAAGAAAAAAGCCATAAATTATTACCCAGCTTGGGTAATGGGTGAGTGCTGCTTAGGAGAAAAGGGAAAGAAGTAGGTGTGGAAGGATAGAAGGAACTTGTAAGCAGAATGCTGTTCCATAGCTGCTCTATAGTCAGTAGTTAATGCTTTTTGGGAGGATTACAGAATGATACAAGACTTCAAGTTGGTAGCTTGTTTATTTCCCATCTCACAACTGTAAATGTAGGCAGTCACACACAAAGGTACACAGCTCTGGGGTAAGTACCACAGATATTTCATTTGCACAGGCTGTGAAACAGGGAGCTGCTTTGGTAGCAAACTTGTGCAAAAGAGAAGCTCAGGACGTCGGGAGAGGAGGGGTGTAGTTGCAGGGGGAAAGATGACAGGAGTGTTAAGCAAAAAGAACAAGCAGCCTGTATTTTTTCCTAGAAGTGCCAGCACTGCCAAAGCCATGGGATTTTAGTCATGTAGTTAAGGTCATGTGTGAAACACATGGGAGAAATAAGGTGTGAGGTGTTAATGGCAAGGCAGGGCAGCTGGGATTGCTGTGTGGCTGGGAAGGAACACCCTTTGGCTTCTGCTGAGCCTGCTGCTGTGTGGCTGGGAGTGGAAAGGAGGTGACTCCAGGCTGCTGCCTGCAGCTGTGGTCCCCTGGAGGCATTTCTGTCTGCTGCCAGGTCACACTGCTGGCTGCACCTTGCACTGCCTCCACTCTGACACGAGCTGCACTGATGGGTCACTGCAGCCTGGAAGATTGAGTCCCTCCCCACACTGTCCAACTGAAAGAGCACCACTGTGTCTTCAGGGGCTTAAAATCAGCTGAAAACACTTCTGGTTTTTTTCAGTTAATTTTTATCCACTGTCAGAGTTCTTATTCTTTAACCCATTACTTACCTGAAGACCTGACCCTACAGCTTTGCTTAGGCTGGGAGCTCTGGGACAGGCAGTTCCTGCTGGTAGGCTGGTACAGGACATTCTGGTTGATATTTTGGGTTGTACCAGTGTGGTACTGCTGTTGTCAGTAGCAGTGGCAAGTCCTCCCCCTTTGGTAGAGAATGTGAGCAGCAGCAGGCAGGCACAGGCTGAGGCTGCAGCAGTTGAATGAGGTGTGAGTAGTTCCCTCCTTAAAGCTTGAGGAGCTGTTGAACCATGTTCACTGTCCAGATGGGCTTTGCAATGCCCATAACCCTCATGAGCAGGTACATGGTTGGACTTGACAGGAGAAGTAAAACAACTGAAGTAATAACAATGAAGAAGAAACCAGCACTTGCTGGATGCTGCCCCACCTGCCAGGTCTGACAGCTCCAGAGTCTGGGAGGTGAGTGGTGCAGTGCTTGTTCCAAAGACTGATGGTTGCATACCAGTCTTGCCACAGACTTCTTGAATGATGCTGTTACATGAAGGTGTGCTTCCACTACAGTGAATCTGGAGGAGCACAGCCTGATATTTTGACACATCAGGTGAAAGGCCTTTTTATTTTAAAAAAGCTCATTTCTGTCATTCTGGCATCCAAAGAAATGAAGTGTTCTCATTCTGAAGCTGAGATTCTTTTGTTACTGGCAGGTGCCTTGATTCTGAGTTATCCCTGTTGGTGACAGTGAGGTCTGGTTTTCAGGTGGTTTTGGGAAGCAGTTGGGGATACCCATGTGCAGATGGTTGGCACGTGGTTGGCTCCTGGATGACAGAGCTGTGCTGGCTCTGCAGAGCAGTGTCCTGCACGGTGAGAATCTCCTGCAGTGTACTTGGTGAGCCAAGGACTCTGCTGGACACAAGGTGGGGCTCCTCCCCAGCTGACACCCCACTGTCCTGGACAAAATGGACAAAACAGGAGAGATATTAAATGCTGCTTTGGGGAAACTCTCTCTCCATGGGAACTGACCTAGTTCTTACTTTGAGTTAGCACAAAGACAGTTCGTGCTGGTTTTGATGCTATTAGAACTTGAACAGTATATACACCCACAGTGTCTGAAACTATTCTAAACTAATAGTTTAAAATAGAGGCTTTTTTCCTTTTTTTTTTTTTTTTTGGTCAGGGCACAGACTGTGTTATTTAGTAGCCACTGGTTCATTTAACTGGTAACTTCAGTAAATCATTCTTTCATTTGATTCACATCCTTTACATAATACTGTGTTTTATTTGACCAAGTGAAATCTGGGCAGATTTAGGTCATTAAGAATCATGGCTGTTTTTACAAGAAGCTTCCTAAATGGATATCTACAGAAGGAGAGGAACAGGTAGAACCAACACCCCTAAAAAAAACCCCAAACCACCCCTGACTCAATCTCTTTTTCCTCTTTATGTAACTCAATGCAAAACTATTTTTCTGAGCAGTTCAGCTGGTTCTACCCTAAAATCCAGAAGGGTTGGTGTTGTTCTGACTCACATCAGGAGCTTCAGTTTGTTTTGTATGCAAATCTGTATTTCTGGCCCCTGTTGAAGGTTCAGCTCCAGAGAAAAGGTTGCTGATGTCTCACAGCTCTGATTCTTCATGGTTCAAATGGACACTTGTTGTGGAACTGGCACGATGGTCTTGTCCATTTAGCTCAGAGAGCTTGTCAGAGGCTGTTCTTGGCCAGCCAGAAACCCCATTCTCACAAGTTTAGCTGATGCCCTTGAGATCTGCTCGCTGTGCACACCCCCAGTCCAGCCTGCACACGGCTTCACCCCCGTTCTGTCCGTTGGCAGAACAATGGGAGCCACTCCAGCCCAAATCCAGATGCAGCAGGGAAATCTGGGCTTGATTAATCTCTTACCATCTCACACACAGGTACACTTTGCCATTTAATGAGTAACTTGGGGGATGAGATGACTTTGAGTGTCTAATCACTTAAAACCTAAGGAGGTTACACCTGATGTGCGACAGTTTGTTCAGGAAACACCGAGGGTTATGGTGAGAGTTGGGAGGTGCTGCTGGCTGTTAAACTAAGGATGGTATTTTGTGATGAAATCCTCTTCAGAGCAGACTGTGGGGTGGGCATGTTGAGCACAATGGGTTTATGGGTTTGAGCCTTACCTGGTTTCTGTGTTGCTGCTGTAACTCCACCACTTTGTGTGATCATTTTACCTGATCTCAGTCTTGCATAGGGGATCGGATCCTAGCTCCAAATGTGGCGTTCAAGACTAGAATCCCAACTGAGGACACTTTTTAGAAAGAGTACTGATAGTCAAGTGGAGAGTAGAATTCTTCTAGAAGTAATTAACTGCCCATTGACTGGGATGCTGTCTGGCCAGAGAAGTCTGGTTTGGCACTTCAGAAATTTCTGTAAAAAAAGTGTCTCTGTAAATCCTTTGTGCGCACTGGTCAGAGATGCAGCCAGTTGTGGAAGAGCTGATAAATGATGTGATTATTTTAACCACTGGATGCATATTTACTGTTCAGAATATTGCTACACAGGTAATTAATAATAGCCAATTCTTGTGTGTGTTTCAGGGGGGAGGAAGGGCAGGGTTGTTGCACTTCACAGCCGCTGCACTCCGTGGTCCTGTGCCACTCTCACCCCATTTCCCTTGGGAGAAGAGGTGAGGATTTCTACCAGTGACTTCGTTGTAGATGTAAAGCTGAGTATATTAAACAGCATTCTGTCTAAGACCAGATTGCAGCAAGGGGAGCTTTGAATAGATGCCAGCACTTCCTTCACACTGGGGACAGAATGGTTTTGAGCAGGGATATAAAGAGGTTTTAGGAGAATGTCCATCCTTGAGTGAACCCAGATAGCAGCTGGACAAGACTATGATCACCTGATGCATTGTCACAGCTGGCCATGCTCGGTGTGGGGGGTGTGATCCTCTATCTGTTGGGGAGGGGATTGTCCTCTGCCCCTCTATCCCCCTCCATTTACTACAAGGCTGATGATAAGCTGAGAAAATTGATAATTTTAGTGCCAACAGGTTTTCTTCCTGGCCAATCAAAACAAACATGCCATGGATAAGAAAAGGAGGGTGCAGACACTTAGGGTAAACACAGAAAGGACAATTGTCTTCTGTTACGAGTGGTGCTGGCTGCAGTTGTCTGATGTTACCTGTGTGTGTGTGTCTGTGTGTGTGTGTCAGGGTCTCTTGGTCACCATCTCCCCTCATGGGTGTCTGTACACACCTGGCAGTGCCTCCACGTGTGTCTCTGGGTGTCTTGCAGTGTCCCTGTGTCTGTCTCTTGATGTCTGTGGGTGTATGTTGTGCTAATACTGCTGTAGCTGCCTGATCTCAGTGGCTTCTTAGATAGTGTTTTTGGTTTGTTTTTTTTTTCCTTTTTCCCCCCCTGCCTCCCAGCATTGACCCAGTGTTCTCCCCAGAGCAGAGAGTGACCCCTCTGGTCATGTCCCTGTGTCCCACAGCTGGGATGGCTGCTCTGAGGTCACCTGGCAGGGCTGCCCCTGTGGCTGAGCAGCCCCTGGTGGAGCTGCCAGAGCACAATCTCCACAGTGACTTTGGAAAGAAACAGCTTCACACAGATAGACGGGCAGGAGACAAACACAGGCTGAGAGTCACTTTTACAAGTTTCTTTATGAAATTAAATGTTGCCCCTGGTCTGGGGGGAAGATATAGTGCAAGAAGGAATTTGTACATGCTACTGAATTCAGATATCCCTGGATGACCAGACTTTGGTCAGCTACAGCATCAACAAACACTGGATTTCTGAGCTCTGCAGTGTTCACTCACACTTGAGCTGGAATGAGCCAGTGTCTTCCTTCCACTGTCACAGGATGTCTCCTAATCTAGGGAATTCAGTCAGTATGGCTTCTAACTCTCACTATGGTAAGGCAAATATTTTTGCTAACCAAGGTTTAAATTCATTCTTTTTGGCCACCATTTGAAACTTGGGTACTTAAAGTGAGGCTCCTTATGCCAAATCTAGGCCTTTATCAAGTGGTTTTCCATTTTTAAAAGTGTCAGCAACACTCCTTGAATTTGAGGGTCTGTGGGAGTTTGCATAACAATGACGTTGCAGAGTTGAACAGCAGACTCTGACTTCTGGGAGCTAGGTTTACAAATATTGACCTTTCTTTAAAAAAAAAGGAAAAGAAAAATTAAACAGACAAAACAGGCATCAAGTTAACAACATCTGACAAGAACAATTACAGACTTACAAAATACACAGTTCTGATTTTTACCATAAATAAACACATTACAAACAATGAGCATTTTCATTGGCCAGGAAATATGGCAGAATGATGGAGAGACGAGAATTTAAAGAATTGCGTATGGTATTAATTAGGCACATTTTTCTCTAACTTATGTAACTGAAACCCACTAGAGAGATTCTTCGACTTGACTCATGCTGCAGTTGGCACAGTTTAATGTAGGACACCTTTCACCGGTGCTGCTGGACTAAAGGGAGGGAGGAGGTCACAGTGCAGGGCTCACTGTGCTCTGAGTGCCTGCAGAGGCTGCTGAGTTAGTTTGGACACGTGGAGGAGGATCACAGCTCTGAGAAACGCAGGGATGGGCTGGGCAGAGCAGAAGGGTTCATCCCTCCTCATCACGGACTCTGAACTGTTGTTCTGAGCAGGGCAGCGGCCACGGGGCCAGCGGGTCCATCAGCTGCCCTCCCCTGTGGCAGCTGCCAGCCAGCAGCGGTGGGCACAGCAGGAAGGAGTGAGTCCAAGTACAGCTGACAAGGTAAATCTCTGGGGCTGCAGCCTGTCCAGCTCCCTGCTGCACGCTCCTGGAGCTCTGCCTGCTGGGCAGCGCGGGGCTGGCTCCGTGGCACCGCTGCCCGCGGTGTGCGAGCGCCCACGCGGCCTCACCTGGGAGCCAGCGGGTCAGCCGGGCTGCAAAATAAATAGGGAAGGCAGGAGCACCTGTGCCATCCTCTGTAAACACAGGGCTGGATGAACCTGGGCTCCACCTGCCAGGAGTGACGGATAAAGTGCTTTCTCAGAAGGGGTTCAGGCACAAACAGGGGCTGCCCCTATTTCCGGAAGGGCGTCAGCCTGCTGATGTTCTGCCAGAAGTTCGAGGGCTTGCGCTTGGGCTCTGCCAGCATGAAGACCTGCTGCTGAGGGAGCGTGGTGGGCAGGGTGGGGTGCTTCTGCCGCATCAGGAAGTCATAGTAGGGCCTGGTGACAGCTGGGACGAGGAGGAGGAGGAGATGGGAAGCACGTTAGTCAAAGACAGCTCCTTTCCTTTCCCCCCACTCTACCGCCTTCCCCAGTCCCCATTAAAGCTGCACGGCTGTGAATTGAGTTTGTCTTAGTGTAACCTTTCCTTCAATTTATCCTTACTTTCAGCAGCGCCTTTTAGGACTGGAGCTCATGTGGAAGGCTCAGAAATGTGCTGCACAACTGTCAGGTGTTCTGCCAGCACGACAGCAGGGCTAGAGAGCGCAGCTCATGACTGGTGACAAACTTAGCTGGTGCTTTTGCCTGTGCTGGGAGAAGCAGCTGCTGTGCAAGTGATGCTGGTGCCTGTTACAATCTCCTGGGCTGGATTTCTGACTAGGAATGGTCAGTGCCTGTGTGGAGGACAAGGCTGGTCTGTGCAATTTCCTCTAGTGCTGTGTCCCAAGGGCTTTGCTCTGTTGGCATGGTCTGGTCTCCTTCCAACCTTCCCCCTGTTTGCAGCCAAATCTTATTTCTGGCCCTTTTGACATTTAGCCAAGCTTTCTTTCAGGAGATGTGGCTGGGGATTAAGTGCTGGCTGATACCACCAAGAGGAAGTGGTTGCCTCTGGGGTTCAGAGGAACCGAGCAACACCTCTTCCTCTGAACAGAGAGAAGGGGAAGGTGGCATCAACAGGGCTGTCTTCAGCCAACAGTGCTGTGGGCACAGGAACCTTTATTTTGCTTGACTTCACTCTCCCCTGGCTGTTGCTAATTGTCCTTGTCTCTCACAGTTGAATGAAGAGCTCTGCCCAAGCATGGTTCCTACCCCTGGCACCCTGCCCAAGGTGCAGGTTTCAGAGCATCTTCCACAGGCACAGCTGCCCAGCAGGAACAGTCCCTGCTGTGGCCCTCTGTGCACCATGGGGATTACTAAAAACCTTCCCTTTTGCCAAAGGGAATGCCACACTGCTGGGAGAGCCTGCTCCTAGGGAGAGGCTGTGCACTGGCCTGGAGGAGAAGCTGCTGGGTCTTGGCAGAGTGCTGATTATGTGCAAAGTGGCTCTCCTGGAGTTGGGAATCTCCAGCCATCTGTATCTACCAGGAATTGTAGTGCAAATTGTCACCATCTGGCCTTCTCAAGAGTTTGTTATTGTCACTTCATTGAAGCGTCTCCCATGTAATAAATACAGAGCCACCCCCCATTGTCACAGTGTTCCTGTGTTCAGGTGTGACTCACCCTTGGGCTTCCCAGCATGGTGCTGCTTGCTGGCATTCAGCATTGCCTGCTTTTTCTGCACCTCCGTGATGGAAAACCCTGGAAGGTAAAGCAGATTTCTGTCAGCAGCAGGTCATTGGGTACCTCAGGAGAAGACAGGGGTAGGCAAATGCCTGAGGTGAGAGGCCACAGTTACTGCCAAGGCTGGGGGGCACAGCTGGGCTGCACAAACCTCCTGCAGGGTTTGCTGCCTGCCCCTCAGCCCATGCTACACTGGGGGAGAAGCCACTCCAGGACACTGGTGGTTGAAATTTTTCAGAATACACTAGGCTGAATTCAGAAGGATTTGGACAAAACAACACAAATCCTGTTGTCCAGTGAGAACCCTTGACTGAACCTGTTCTATGCTGTTCTGGACCCTGTATATAATGTATTGACTCTTTTGTCAGCCCTGCTTGAACTCCTTAAGACACATCAGCCTCCCTGAGGACAAACTCCAATGATGGCTTATGGTGATTTGCAGTTTCTTAATTGCACAGATTCATCCAGAATGTGTAATTCATCAGCCCAGAGCTGCCCTCGAGCATGGGCTGGCTTCCCCACCCTTTCACTCCACAGGCATTAGCCAATGGGTAAAAAAAGATGAAAAGCCAAAAATAATAATAATGATTAAAAAAAAAAACAAAACAGTCTCCCAACATTGCCTCTTTCCATACCTGTCTCCTGGTCGAGCTGCACCTGCCTCCTTTCATTCTCAAATGCCTTCAGCCAGCGCTGTTTCTGCTCAGGCTTTTTTGCACAGAATAAATGGACTTCCTCAGTGTCTCTGCAGTGCAGCTTAAATGCATTTTTCACACTGATATTGAAGTCCTTGTCTTTGCCATCTTCTACATCCAGTATTTCCATGTCATCCATGTTGATCCGACTCTTGTAGTACAAGATGTCCCTGCGCAGAAGGTCCTGGAAGAGAGATCACAACACATGTTGCTGTTTCTGGGATGTGGTGGAGAATTTAACCTTCCTGCTAGCATTACAGTCTGTAAAAGAAATGAACAGTGGATTTGAGTCTGTGGAACTGCAGAGTGCTGAGCTGCTGTGGGCACTGCAGGGAACCACAGTGCTTGTCCAGGCAGTGGGGTCAGGACAGGCTGGTGGTTGTGTTGGGGTCTATCTGCTGCCCTGTAGCTTGGGTGTTGCACATGATCCCAAATCCTCATTAAGCCTCTGACTGAAAACACTATTTGAATCCTTCAGTTCCAGTTAAAAAGCAAAAATAATACTAATTAGCTCTTGGCTTTTTGTTGAAAATGAAAAGTAACTTTGAGAACAGTGATTTCAGGTAACCTAAGTTACCTGGAGCTACCTGCATGCTGTGGAATAGGCAAAAACTAATTGGCACATTCAGTTCTGAAATTCCAGAGGAAGGTACTGTTCATTGGCTCCAAGAGGGAAGATTTCTGTAATTACTCAGCTTATGAAAAAAAGCTGTACTTACAGACTTATATGTGCTGTTAGCATGGCCTTACTGACTGCCAAGGCCCACAGCTGTTCATCAGATCTGCACTTTTTTCTGAATACAACACGAAGGTGGAAGTTCAGATGTAGAACAAGGTAGTTAAAAGAACTTGTGTGACAATACTCATAACTGAGTTGTACAGAATAACCCCACACTAACCCCAGAAGCTGTGAGGATTAGGTCAGTAGCTGATTGCTGTGCTCAGGTGCACAGAACACCCCAGGACCTCAGAGGAAAGACTGCACAGAGTGCCAGGAGCACATGAGGCCAGGAAGAATTAAAGAAACATTTAATTTCTTAAATTTAAGAAAGGGTGGAGAGGGAGTTCACTAAAATCAGCACAGCAGTAGCCAGCTTTCATGATTACCTTCTTGCAGCAGACAAGCTGGTGATCGAAGAGGAAGAACATCCTCTGTTGGCTCTTGGCTTGAGGGTGGGAGATTTTGGCTAATTCCCCAGAATAGATGAGTTCTGAGCTTCTGACTAGGACATCTTCTCCCTGAGAACAGCACAAAGAACAGGTTGGTCTCAGCCTCGTCTCAAAGTGGGAGCCTGAATTCCTGCTGACAGAACTCGTGTGGGAATGAGAGACAGCCTCTGTGCTGGAGGACAGCCCTTGGCACATCAGGGAGACACTGTGCCCTTGGTACCCAGGGGGTGGGAACTGAATTTGATTAGAACAATAGCTTGTTAAATTTTTTTAAAATCACCTTTTCCAGGGAGTCTGCTCAGGAAAGCTGCTCCATTCCAGACATAAAGGGGGCATATAAGCAGGGAGCTAAGAATTCAGCCTGACATCCTTGGGCAGGGAGACAGTGTGGGTTTATTGAGTCTAGGATTTAGAAAATCAGTATTTTGTTTCTTTTATTTAGCAATTTTTTTTTAATGAGTCTACAGGGAACCTTGGTTTCCTCTGTGGCTATGCCAGAACTTGCCTTTCTGCAACAGTAACCTGGCTTGCTAAGAATTAAGGAGTGATTTTGCTCATCTTGAAAGTTTGAAGTCACTCAAGATAAAGTGGGGGGCAAGACAAAAATAACAGAATTTCACTAACCCACATGCTGATTTCATTCTGCAAGGAAAAACAGGGAAGCAAGAATCCCAGGGAACATGCAAAGGCATCTGGTCTAGCTGGGTTATATGCCAGACCTGCTCAGTTGCACTAAAAGATCATAACTGTTTAAATAAAATCAGACTCTCCACAAAGATGGGCGGAGAGCTCAGGTGGGGCTAGCCAGTGAGATATCACTGCAGAGAGAAGCTGTTGGGAGGGCAGAAGAGGAACAAGGTGGAATTCCTTGGGCAGGGAAGTCCCCTACCTCCCAGTCCTCTATGGAGCTCTGCCACTGAGCGATCTTGTCGATGTTTTCCAGCCGCCGCTTCCTCTCGTTGATGAGCCGAGCCACGTTCTTCATGGCATTCAGGGCAGCCTCCACATCCTTGAAATCCCTGGGGAGGGGCAGAGGCCTTAGGCTTGGCAGAATGGCACGGGGGTGTTGTACCTACACTCCAGAGGTCAGCCTGGCACAGAGCTGGGGATGGAACCAGGAGTTCCACCTGCAGTCTGTCCCAGCTGTTCTGTGCTGGAATCAGAGTCAGCTGCTGCTGTGGCAGCTCTCAGACACTCTCTGCTTTTGAGGCACAGGTTAGATGTTGATTAGAACAATAGCATGTTACATTTTTTAAAATCTCCTTTTCCAGAGAGTCTGCTCAGGACAGCTGCTTCATCCCAGACATCCACTCCCTTTATGTGTAAGGGAGGCACATGAGCAAGGAGCTAAGAATTGAGCCTGACATCCTCGGGCAGGGAGACAGTGTGGGTTCATTGAGTCTGGTAACAAATCCAGGCCACCTCTGGGGAAGGGAAAGGGGGTAAGTCATCAAATTTAGCTACAGAGGTGTAAATACAAGTTGCTGGAAGAACCTCCAGGTTCTCATTTTCTTTGTGCAACATAATACAACTCGTTCACAATGCTCCTGTTCCCATGCAGGGACTGGTCTGTGGAGCAGAGGTGAAGCAGTCCAACAGTAACTGGCTTGTTTCAAACATGAGCTGACCACCATCTGTGGCCACCAGCTACTTCTGCTGAGTTCAGAGCGGCTGGGAAGGAGCTGAGCTGCACAACTTGGCTCTAAGGCAACTCTGAAAACATCTGTGCACTTCCTTAAGGAACAAGACATGCTTCAAACCATTCTGGGAAACACCAGGGCTGCAATTAGGAAGGTGAAATTAAGTCAAACCACAATGGACCAATATCAACACTTTCATACAGATTTTTCATGTTTTCAGGTACTTGATTAAGTTATTTGACCCAAAGGCAATGCCTTCACCCTGAAAGTGAGTGATGGATTTGGGGGCTTTGGGCTGGCATGACAGGGCACCAAGCGTGCATGGCTTGACTGCTGCAGGGCACAGCTTCCCACTGATGAAGTGCAGCTGTATGGGCACGGTGGGATACATTCAACCATGCTTTTGGAGGCAAAGTTCTGAACACAGCCACCAGAAACACATAGCTCCAAAGTATGTATGTGCTGGTATCACAGATGCATAAGCCGAATAAAATAGAAAAGGGCCATTATAAAGTCGACCTTGTAAATCTTGATCTGTGACAGGAAAGCTGAGTGCTACTGTAGTGGGAAATGTTGTAAATGTACTTTTATGATATACTTATAATAAGTTATAAGTTATTATAATATTATGTAAGTGTTTTTCTAGGGCTTATAAGAACTGGCTCTAGGACAAACAACTTAATAATATACTTATAATAAGTTATACGTTATTATTATTATAATATTATATAAGTTGTATACTTATATAATAAGTTATATATAACTTATGTAATGTAAATATACTTTATAAAATCATATAAATATATTTATTTTCCTGGTTTCTACGTGTAAGAATTGAGCTGGCTGCAGTTAGCCACTGCCCTCCATGCCTGATCCAGCACAAGCCCATTTCCATGGGAGCATCCTGGCTCCTTCCCTGCCCCTCCCTGGCCTACCTGTGCTGGGGGTTGGTGTACTTGAGCAGCTCGGCCAGCTGCAGGGGGTATTTGCAGATCTTCTGCACGGGGGTGAGCAGGAAGCCGTCCAGGGAGATGTCAATCATCTTCTGCAGCAGGCGGCAGGCCTCGAAGAAGTAAACGTACTTGTTCACCTTGGTGAGGCGCGAGAGCTCCAGGCACGCGTTGGGGTGGTTGTTGCAGTACTCGGAGTAGATCTGAAACTCTGTTTGCTGCAAGGCACAGGGAGGGATTTACTGCCCATGTCCTTCAGACTCCTGCGCCTGTTTGGTGATTTGTATCCTCTAACTGGAGCTGTTTGCTCATTTGTATCCCCCACAGGCTCTCAAGCCTGGAGTTCTAAAGCTGGGGCTGGCAAGGTGTGTCACAGCTTCGTCTGAGAGACCCAGACATTCCCACATACCCTGCTCTGGGCTCAGCTGAATGCTTTTAGTGCCCACACCAGCCACAGCTGAGCCTTCACTGACCTCAAATACCATTACTGTAAACTCAGTCCCACTCGAGATTTTGGAGTATTCCTACATTTTCCCTGAAGTACCAAGGGCTGGCAGGGATTATAGTGTTCAGAAGATAAGGTGCTTTGAAAATGCTCTTTCCACAGCCACAAGAGCTACAGGGTATTTCTTTGGGAAGTGGTTGAAAACAGCTAGGATAGAGGGTGGTGGCATTTAGTTTGGTTGGATGGGTCTTTTTAAGGAAAGCTTCAGTTCTGTCAGATCAATTTCTAAATCCTCTGGCTCAACCCATGCTCAGCTACCCCTTTCCCATGAAGTCAAATTTACTTACATATTCCAAGAAGCATGAGCCAACCTCACTCAAATGTGGGTGGTCTTTGTTAAATTTCTTCTCTAGTGCTTTAACAAATTTCTTCTGGCACCTGTAGATGTCCTCAATATTCCCAAAGATTGTCTTCAGCTGTTCTTCTGTAAACATGTCGGCTCTCTTGCGGCACTGCTTAATGTAACCCTGAGAGAAAACCAGATTGGAAAGCTTCCTGAGCATCTGCTCTGTGGCACAGAAAGCCTCAAGGACTGCACTCAGGTGTACACCAGGCTCCTGCATTTCCTTCCTGCAGATCTGTACCCATCTGTAACTATTATTTCCTCTCATGTTACCCTAAACACAGTACAAATAGAAGCTGCCACAGACACAGCAGCCCTGGGTGATGCTGCAGCCCACACCTGAAGGAGTCACAGCTGCTTTCTCTCTTGCTGAAAAAGCCTTTATGTGTCTGCAGTGGGGTGCTCTGACTCCAGCACTGGTAGATTCAGACCAGTCAAGTCCAGGTGTGGACCTGGTTTGGTGCCTGTGTGAGGAGCTGCCCAGCTGACTCCAGCAGAGGAGAGCTCCGAGGGACAGGGGGACACTGCAGAGGAGAGGCTTGTTTGTGTGTGCTCTTTGCCCCAGCTGCCTCTGCTGGGAGCCACTTTTGCACCATTGCAGTGGAGAATTCTGTTCCTGCAAAAATTCCAACTGCCTTCACTCCCCCAGTGTACAGGATGGATCTCTTTTAGAAGAGGTGTCACAATATTCAGCCTATTTGACAGTAAAGGATCCAATTGGCTGAGCATCCCCCACTTGTTTTGATCTGAGCATGGCTTGCCTGAAGGCTGGAGTTGCTGATTTTATTACCCCAGAACACATATTAGAGAGGACAGCAGTGCTAGACATTTACTTTTCTCTGGCTTGGGAAATTCAATTAATTCCATTTAATCAGAGCACAAGTGAGTGCTCCAAATGCAGAGGCATTTGGGATTCTGTTGTAATGAATTGTCTTCTGTTTTCTAACCATATACTGGCATTCAGCAGAACTGATGAAAATCCAGTCTCGTTTTCAGAAAAATTACCTGCTTAGGATCCCTTTCTGGGCAAGCATGGGACACACAGTCCATTATCCTTCAGAGAAGCTCTTACAGTCCCTTCCCCCTTTATTCCTTACCTCACAAATGTCCTTCAGGTGCTTGATGTAGTCTCTCTCTGTGCTTATGATCTCGTTGATGACGTTGGTCCTCATTTGGTCTTTGGTGGTCTGGCCCATCCCAAAGCGCCGGGAGTCGTCCTCTTTGCCCCCCTCCACCTTCAGGGGATAATCTTCCATGGGCTCATCCTGGTTCACCCGCAGCTGGGAGGCACACAAGATGTTCACTGCTCCTGTTGCTAAAAACAGCTCTGCCAAGGAAGTGGCTGCGTGGCAGACACACACTGAGCTGGGACAAGGTGAGAGGAGGCTGTGTGTATTGCCTGGAAACATTTTCCCCTCGGGGAGGCTGAGGCCAGACAGTCCCTTTGGGGAGGGCACATGGCAGCTGCTCCCACTGTGACATGGGTGGGTTTAGGCAGGTATTTCTAGTGGACAGAAGTTACAGGAATAATATGGAGTCCTTCAGGAATAATACATATAAAATCAGGACAGAAATGGTTGATTGAGTGAATTTTTCTTAAATATTTGAAGGGACACTTCAGGAGGGAGGGGAGAACCAGTAAAGGTTGGGTTTTTATCTACTTTATTGTTCTCATACTGTCAGTAACAGATGGCCCCTCGGTATCTGCTTCCCCAGGATTATTTAAAGAGAGTTCATTGCTAAAGCAGAAGCAGACCAGCTGCCTGTGGGCACCGAGGTGGGAAAGAAGGGCCGAGCAGGGCAGGGCGGTGTGGACTCTCGGTGCCCCATCAGATGGCAGCACAGCACGGGCGCAGGGAAGCACCGAGCTCAAGGGCACGGACTGAGCTTTCCACTCTGAGCTCCCTTGCCTGGTACTGCTGCGTGCCCCTGGGAACACTGCATGGCTCAAAGGATCCGTCCCAGCACAGAGAAGGAGTGAAAGGTAGGAAGGTAAAACAAACATAATTATAGGAATTTTTAGTATAGTGACACAGAGCTGCTTTAAACTTTTAATGTAGTTTCTTCTAGGCTCTATGACTTACCACTTGGTACAAATACACCTACGTATAAAACACAGTGCATACCCTCCCTTGCTAACACAGGCACAGATTACATTTACTCACTGCTGAAGCCTCAAGATGTGCAACCCTGGCTCTCCTTCAGTGTGAGCAGGACATCGGCAACTCTTAAACTCAGACCTCGGCCTGAAACTCAGATGTGGAGTGACAGAGCCCTGCAGTCTAAGCCAAGCCTCCAGACATACCAGTCCTCCCTGCCGTGAGCTTGAGAGCCAGTGGTAATTAGCGGGAAATCTTCAGCTGGATGCTTGAATAAGCGTTGTGATTCCTCTGTTAAAAGAATTTCTAACTCTGCATCCCTAATGCCTAGAACTAGTCTGCTTTACTCTGACAAGTTTTTGCCAGCCAGGACAATTCAACTTATCTGTAACATGAAAGAAAAAAATTCTGTGTTTTCATTGCAAGAAAAAGCAGTGCTGAGGTCTTGGTAATCTTATTTGCAAAACATTCCACTGTTTGTGTTAATTACGCAGCTGAGACTAACTCCTGCAGCCTGTAACAAAGCATTTCAAAACTGCCCCGCTTCTGCAATGACTTTTGCTACAGACACCGGATGACCTCGTGTCACCTCCTTTCATGCTTCACCTGGTTTTGGGTCATTTGTGATCTGAAGTGACCTGGATAAAGAGCTAAAGGGCTGAGAATCTCTGCCCTTAGGCACCTCGCTGCCTCTGCAGCGCTGAGGAGCCTGCCCCGAGGTGGTGAAAGCTGTCCGGCACTGACACCCACAGTCACGGTCAGGAGAAAGGAAAAAAGCCTTTTCCCTCAGCGGGACAGCGAGCACAGCAGTTACCAGCCTCCCACACTCCTGGTCCCCCCTGCTTGCCCTGAGAGCTCAGATGTGTTTCAGAAAGCTCTGCTGGAAGTGGAGCCTCTGCAGGATGCAGTAGGCACTGTCTGGGCTGGTCTGCACAGCTCTTCTGTGTGGGCTTTGAAGCTGGCACCAGGGAACAGCCTTGGCCCGCAAGAACAGAGTGTCTCACATTGCCCCAGATCATGGCCCAGACATTTCTTGTGTTTTCCTCCTCCATTCTTTAGTGCCTGGCTCGCAGTGCTGTGTGACAGCCCAGCAGCCTGGTGGCTGAGGAGGTGCATGTGAGTCAGGTGGGTGCACTGCAGAGAGGTGCCTTTGGTGCCACGCTCATCTCTATTGTCTAAGTGGACACTGGAGTGAAGAATCCAGGGATCTGCATCAGGGATTCTTCCAGGAGAGTGCTGCTTGCTCCTGGAAGTGGATGCCATGTGCACAAATCAGCCAGTGTACAGATGGGTAAGCAGGAGCCAGACTGCAACCACCAAACAGGGCAGCTCCCCAGCTGGCACAGCTCAGCTCAGCTCTGCTCCGCTCTGGAGCTGAACCTTTTGCCCTGATTTACTCATGTAGAGGGAGTTCTCCACACTGGTGGCTGCTCAGCCAGGAGGGCACTGTCACATTCACATTCTCTGAAAAATCCCTTTGCCCATGATTTTTCTCCTGGGAAGCTGAGAAGCCTCAGAGAAAAGGAAAACAATTCTTCTCTCATTTGCTTCTCCTGTTCTGTCCTCATGTGGAATGTGTTTGGAGATTGTTTACCCACAGGTGATTGTTCCATTGCATTCTGCTGTCAGTTGTTTTGACTTATTGGCCAATCAGGGCTAAGCTGTGTCGAGACTCTGGAAAGAGTCACGAGTTTTCATTATTTCTTTTTAGCATTCTGTAAGTATCCTTTCTGTATTATATAGTGTACTATTCTTTAATATAATATAGTATCATAAAATAATAAATTATCCTTCTGAGAACATGGAGTGGGATTCTTCATTCCTTCATTCCAACGTCGAGGCACAATACAATAGGACACCCTGTACTGTAGCCCCTTGTAGAGGAATACTAAACAAGACATGCTGAACCATCTCTAGCAGTGAAAGTCCTTAGGAGTCACCACAGAACATTAAACCTGGAGAAGAACAAACACCTACTGCTAAGAGAGAGGGCACAAAGAAAGATGAAGATCTTACCCGAACAAAGCTGGCTGGAAACCAGCCTTCACTGTCCAGAATCCTCCCCCACCACCATTCCTTGTTGGTGGCATCCATTACTTCGATGACATCGCCGGCCTTGAATCCCAGCTCCTGGTCATCCATGGTGACGTGGTCCCAGAGGGCCTCTGCGTACACCACGCTGCCATCGCTGATGAGCTGTGGGCAGAGCAGGCACACCGTCAGTCCCTCCATGGCAGCAGCACCGAGTGCCAGCCTGCCTGCAGCCCTGGCACACGTGCTGCTACCTCTGCACCCCCATGAGCAATGAGGAGTGGCTGCAAGGCTGGCCGTTGGCTTTTGCCCTGCTCTCAACAGCATTTATTCAGAATCACTTGCACACACTACGGTTAGCACCACAAAAACATAAATTCTGGTATTTCATCCTGCTGGTTTTGCCTCAGCCAGTAAACAAGGCTCAGTGGTACCTTGTTTGTGGAGGATGCTCTGGTGCTGCCAGTGCAGCTCTGCTTTGGAAAGCCTTGAAATAAAACCCTGAGCATCAATATTTAGAGACATACTTCAGAGCAAAAAGTTCTGGAATGGCCTGCCCAGGGAGATGGTGGAATCCCATCCCTGGATGTGTTTAAAACAGACTGGATGTGGCACTGGGTGCCAGGGTTTAGTTGAGCTGCTGGGACTGGGTTGGACTCTGTGATCTTAAAGGTCTCTTTCAACCCAGTAATTCTGTGAAAAAGCATTCAGAGTCCTCAGAGCTTCTCTGGAATAGCTAAAGCCTGAAGCCTGTAAGGTGGTTAAACATAGCACTTAAGATGCTTAAAATAAGACTCCTGGAGAGTTTTAAGTAATTATACTGAGGAACAACAGTTATTTACTGCTGGGGCCCACAGAGGCCTCACTCTAGGAAAAACAGGACCCCCAACAATCAAAGAACTCAAACCAAAACCAAAGCCATGTGTCTGGAAGCTGAAAGGAGCACTGAGCTCAGTGATGCTGTTCCTGGAGCCATTGCTGACCGTTCCCACCTCAGCTGTGGGGTGGCCAGGTAACACCTGGGTGCTGCTGCCGTGGGGTCTCTGAGGGCTGAGCCTGCTGGCCACCACAGCAGGAGTGCCTGATGCCACTGGTTCGTCAGGTCTGAGTCTCCCTTGGATTTCAACAACTCCAGAGCACACTCACAGAGTTCCCAGGGCCCGAGGGTACCTGGGACTGTCTGAACACCAAGGGTTTTCCCAAGAAGATGGAGTGCATACTGGAGTTCTGCTGAAAAGGACTTGGCCATTGTAGAGTGGCAGTGAAGGCCTGTTTTTCTCCAGGAAAATGGTGCAATGATGAATTATGGGAAGACAACAGGAAGACAGTATGGGAGGCATACAGGAGAAAGAGAAAAGCTGTAGGAAAGCCACTGTCCCTGGCAGGTGTCCCAGCTGTGCAGCAGTGACACCACAGCACACTTGGCTGCTCAGTCTCCCAGAGCCATCCCCTGCTCTGGGTTACTGCTGCTGCCTCTCCACAAAGGAGAGATAGATGCATGTTGGAAAAGAACGTCAGCATAAGCATCAACTGAGTAAATCAGAAGAGGGTTAATGAGGCATTTGAAAGAAAATTGAAATGCAGTCTGCCTTTGGATAGCAAATGCCCCTTCACTGAACCAGAAACAGCTTAATGCAGTGTTTCCATTCTGACAGAAATAACAGGATGATGAGGAAGGAGAGGGTGAGAGGTTCCCACTTATCTACACAGCCTGTGTGTAGCCAGAGCTAGGTGGGATGCAGTGCACTGATTCTATGTGCATCTCTGTGAAAGCAGGGGATGGATCCATGGGGCAGCAAAACCAAAAGGGTTATTGATGTATTAAAAACAACAGAAGTGCCTTAGAATGGTCATGTAGAAACCTCTCCCCCCCCAAAAGGTGGTGGGATCCGCCCAAGTGAACCACACTAATGCACACAGGGTGGGAAACAAACAGGAGGAGTCCAAGTCCCCACTCCTCCTGGTGTGGAAGGAAAACTGGGATACAGCTGCCACCACAGCAATGTGGTGGGACGATTCTCACAACTGGAGCACTGCAGTGGGTGGCCACAAATCCTTCAGAAGGAGCAGGCATGGAAGGAGAGGCAGTGGGGGAAGCCTGTATGTGAGGGAGTGTTTTGATGGTGATGATGGCAGGGTTGAGTGCTCCCCCTCTCTGCTCTCTGGTGCCCAGTGACAGAAGCCACAGGAACAGCCTGGATCTGTGGCAGGGCAGGTTAGGCTGGATATCAGGAAAAGGTTCTTTCCCCAGAGGGAGGAGGGGCACTGAACACAGGATCACAGCCTCAAGGCTGCCAGAGCTCAAGGAATGTTTGGACAACGCTGTCAGACACAGGGAGGAATTCTTGGGGTGTCTGTGCAGGGCCAGGAGTTGGATTTTGATGGTCCTTGTGTGTCCCTTCCAACTCAAGATACTCTATGATTCTCCAAATAGAGTGATCTCATCCATGAGCTGGATGAGGGGATTGAGTGCACTCTCAGTAATTTAGAGGTCTTAGCTTTTTAGCATAAAGCAGTGACAACTAGAGTAGGGAAGAGAGTGTATGTAAAAGCGTATTTTTCCAGACTTGGCTATCAGATTTCCGCTCCAGAAGAGCAGCTGGGCCCTGGGTGAGGGCAGGTGTAGCCACTCTCACAAAGAGCTCTGCTGCTGCTTTTGGGCAATCCATTTGCAGCGGGACTGCAGGGAGTGGTGCCTGTGCAGATCACAAGCCGGGCCCAGCTCCTCCTGCTGCAGGGAGGGAGAGCAGCAACAGGGTGAGGGGTGCCTGCAGCCCAGCCCTAGGGAAAGATCTCCTGCCCATTCATTTCACAGGGCAGCTGATTAAACACTCAGATGTCACTCTCAGAGCTGGGCGCACACCGGGTCATGGCAGCTGCTGCCACGCCCTGCTGAGTGACACATCCCTGCGGGAAGGGATGGCTGCTGCTCAGGACATGGCAGAAGCTGCTAAACCTTCAGAAGAGTGGCATCCAGCAGGCTTTTCAACACTCAAACTGTGACCAGCACATAGAGAACATGGCTCTTTCTTGGACAAAATACTTTCTCTGTGTGTTTCAATGTGGCAGCCTGGATGAGTGCTCTGAGTGTGATGTGCAGGCTGGCACACACTGTGGCCATTTCCAGAGAGAGACTGAGGGACTTCCTCTAGCACTGAGACAATCACACAAACAGAGCACTGGTGATGTGAAGGCATTAATACCACACAGTACCACGCTGTCACATCTTGGTAATGTGATGAGAAGAGACCTGACCCAGCATTCTCAGCACAGAGAGCTGACACACTCAGCTCACAGAGCCACATGGTTCTACTCAGTCACTGAAATCCACAGGGCTGGGTAGGGAATCCTCAGCTGGTATTTTAATCCATGTATTAATATTTATACCTTACATTTTCTCTATTCAACAACAGCCATACTATGAATATGACTTGGAAAAGACAGGAAGTCACAACTGTGGGATCACCAGCCTGGCCAAACAGGCAGGCAAGACACTGCCAGTTCTCATGCAAAAGAATAAATAAAATACGTCTGAACAACAGGCCAGGATTTGTTTAACCGACAACAAACACCATGTTTCTGGGGAGGAATGATCTATAAGGCATGAAATAAAGAGCAAAAAAAAATTTCATCTGTTCATGGGATTATCTTAATTAATGTAACACAGCAGCACTGAACACACCTTCATGTGCTCAGGCTGACAGGTTCTGCCTGGCCCCCCGCTGCCCCACCTCCTCCTGTGCTGGCACCCCAGGGTGGGCAGGGGCAGACCTGGGCGCTGAGCAGTGCTCGGGGCTCTGCTCCTCTCTGCCCCAGCTCGGGCTGTGCCTTTTGCTGTTATTTCCCACTGTACCCAGTCCAATTCCTAGGCAGAAATACCCACTACACCCAGCCCGAGAGCCCCTCTCCCAGAGCAGGTGCTGTGGGGCAGCTCAGAGCCAGGACTGGCATTTCCATGGCACGGGAGCACCCAGGGTGCCACATGTCACTGCAGCAAGGAGAGCTGCCCCAGCTGGGGCACAGCACTGCCCCATCCTCCCCCAGGGGCAAGCTGCCACGGGCAAAGAGGGGCAGGACTCTGTTACAGTCAGGGAGAAAAATCGCAGAGAAAGGCTTCATAAAATCAAACCTGCCCTCCTGGAATCAGTGTCTGGCCTTGTCAAAGCTAGCATTTTGCAGTTCCCATGTGAAAGCAATCCTGGTGTGAGCAGTTCATTAATATAACAATCTATTCCTGGGTAAAAAAACCCCCAACTTTCACCTGTATAAATTGTCATTAACATAACAATCTATTCCTGGGTATGTTATTTATACCTGTATAAATTGGTTTTGCACCATTAGATAGAAAAATAAAACCTATTCTTTACAAACAACTTCCCTGCAGGTATAGAGAGTTTGAGTGACCAATCAATACAGGATAACAACTTGTTACTGACCAATAAAGTAACTGGAAAGAAAATAAGTGACTAACTGGAGTCCCACACGAGGTGTGTAACACTGAGTAAAAAGGAGTGATGTGAATAAAGAATGGCCTTTTTCCACCATGAAGAAAATGGAATCCTGTGTGGCTTATTCCCATAGGACCCTCCTACTCCAGGAAGGATAAAACCAGCAGGTAAAAGGGTTTTGGCAAAATGTGTTTGAGGTGGCACCATCAACCAGCTCTGCTGAGGGAGCTCCTGGCTCCCAGAGGAGCTGGATGGAAGGGGATGCTCACCCCTGCCAAACACCTCCTCAGCTCAAAGGGCTCAGCTCACCACACTTTGATCTCTGTAATTAAAGCAAGGTTTGGAAAACAACTGTTTATTTCCATATGAAACAACATTTCTGTGCTGGCTTTGTAATGTCAAGGACAACTCAGTACATGTTCTTGAAGAGGTCCAAACAAGTGTGTAGCACAGAAATGTCAGAGAATGCAAACCAGCCACCCCACAGCTGCTCTAGCTCCTGCAGCTGGCAGTGGGGAAAACAATCAGAAATCAACTTCTTTACTTTGCTTATAAAAACATCTAACTTTGTAGACAGCAGCATTTGCAACCCAAAGGCAGCACTAGCCCAGATGCTTGAATCTGCAAATCGAGGACAGCTCTGTTACTGCCCTGGCCTTTGTGTGTCCCAGCCCCAGGCTCCTGTTCCAGCCCTCCCTGCTGCGAGGGGAAGGCACT